GAAGGAAGGAAGGAAGGAAGGAAGGAAGGAAGGAAGGAAGGAAGGGAGGAAGGCTGCTTAATGGTGTATTTTTTGAAAGCTCAAACTGAATCCAATCTTCTTCCCCACTGAGGAGGGCTCCCATCTGCCAGCTACAGTGTTCAAAGCCTGCCCCTCCCATCCCATCATGGATGCAAATTTCTTTTGTTGTGAGCCCACACCTAAGTGCACTGATGTGTAAAAAGACAAATTTCACAGGTGCCCAGAATCCAAAATGAAATGGAATTACACTTCAAACAATACATCCCATCTGTCTATGTTAACATTTAAATGCATCCAAACAAAATCAAATGTGCTTTTAAAAGCAAAGAAAGTGGTCAGGGGAACTATACAGTCAATTAAAGATTAAGATGGCAACAGGAAAACACATTTTCTATTCCAAATTAGTCAGAATAATAATAATAATCTCACCATGATGACATTAGCTTTGTAGACACTGAGACAGTCACGAAGAAAATTAGGAAACGTAAAATACTTTATGCTTACACGTCAATCGCAAAGACTGGCTTTAAGAGAAGTAATGCTTGAGAAAAGAACAAAGATATTCCATTGATATGAACCCTTCCAAGAGAAATAACAATCTTTTAAAAATCTAAAACACATCTAAAAAGCAAACCTGGTGCCATTTATGCCTGCTCAATGGTCCTTTATGACGAAGTCAAAGGTAGNCACATCTAAAAAGCAAACCTGGTGCCATTTATGCCTGCTCAATGGTCCTTTATGACGAAGTCAAAATCAAAGTCACTACCTATTTTTAAAGTAGGATGAAATGAAGATTTAGGTTCCTACCACCCACTCCATACTACTTTTTACAGGGAAGCCATACGAAGCCCCAGGAAGCTGACCATTCCAAGCGTGGAGGGATCAAAAATAAAATTTCCCATCTCCTAGTCTCCTAATCTAGTTTTTCGCATACACTAAAGCACACTGAATGAGTAAGTGTCAGGGGGTGATTGAGGGTCAAGCAAGGCATCAGCAGACGAGCTCAAAATGGAACCAAGCCAGACGAAGCAAAATCTATGGATGATTTCTGTTGACAAATTTTAAGCCAGGGACAAAGCCAATTTAAAACCACCCCCATGGAAGCTTTATATTCACATGAACCAATTATCTGCCAAAGTTTACTTTTCTCTCTTTTATAAGCAAAAGATCCACAAATGAAAAAAACTGTGACCTGTGATTTTCAAACAAGTCACTTCATCATCAAGTTCTCCATCCATAAAGACCACTAATAAACCACAGCTCTGACTCTCAACTCTGGCTGCTCTAAGAAATAGAAAAAATTAAAGAACTCTATACCCTGACCCCTATCTGCAGATACTGGGACTTAATTAATCTAGGGGGAGACCCAGATATCAGTATTTTTTAAGTTATCCAGAGATAAGCAGCACAAACCTCCCTGATGAGGCAGACCTAAGGTCCTGTTCAGCTGACATTCTCAGCTCCTACCCTGACACCTGTAACTTCACATGACAACTTTTAACATGAGTAAAGAGCTGGCCGAGCAGAAACAAACAGCATGCTGCAGAAATCACTCCAGTGTGGTGTCAACCTCAGAATTCAGACCAACAAACCTGAACTGAGACAGACTTCTAGCCCGAAAACTGACCAACAAATGCACCAGGTATCACAGTAAAGGGAATGAGGTTATCCTAAGGGTAGTAACTCCTAGGCCTTCTACAGGAGATGTTGTCTAGTATTGCAATCTCCACAACCAGTCCCCCTCCTGAAAAAGACGCTTTGCATGTCCCAGAACCTTTGAGGACGTCCGGGTGAGGCAAAGAGGGTCAGAGGCTGCCAGCATGTCCGTCGTTTGCGTGGCTTCCACACTGGCTGGCAGATGCATTACCCATCCTGCCTGGAAAGCAAAGCGACGGGGCCAGAGGTTCATGGGGTAAGCGTGACAACCTGCTGGCACTGAGAAGTAGACCTTAACGCCAAAAGTCTTTAACTAGACTGCACAGAGGCCGTCGGTTTGGGGTTCCAACACCTGCCAGCTCCCCAACCCACTAAAATATTAGTGAAAAAGGAGAACTGCAAAGATGTATTTAATTCAAGAAACTAGGGAGGAACGTGTCAGAAGGTCTTCCCTGGCTCTGCAAATCCAAAGGGCAGATACTTCCCAGCCGTCCGCACACATCACACTGTGGTGGGAGCAGTGGACCTGCCTGTCCAAAGGTAGTTCAACTGGGGACAGAAGTAAGAGGTGTGGTTTTGCTGTATACCGACCAAAGAACAGGGCGTAACACAGGGGACAGGGCCATCTCGAGGAAGGCGGGTTACCCCTGGTGGGTTTCTGAAGTGCAGCGTGGGTTGGACGCGGCCAGGGAAGCGCGGGCAGGAAGCCCGGCCCGCGCGGCTAGGATGCTGCACCAAAGGGCTGCGGGGTCAGTCCCCAGCTGGGGCGCCTAGGGAAGGCAATCTACTGATGTTTCTCTCTCACATCGATGTCTCTCTCGCTCTCTCTCTCGCAGCATGTCCTAGGATGGGGATTTAAAAAAAAAAAAAAATAGGCAGGGAAATCTGCCTCCGAAGAGCGTGCTGCATGGCCCGTGGAGGGCTCTGAGCTCCCTGGGGACGAGGGACTCCCAACCCGCCATGCACGGTGGGACTCGGCAAGTGGAAGGTGTTGAATAAATACATGAAAACTCGGGAGGGCTGATGGTGTCTGTGCTGGGAGGAAGATCATGCGCTTCCGCGGGTATATGTGTGTATATAAGCCATAAGCAAAAACACCACCTCTCATCCACCATCTCACTTTCTAGGCACTGGCCCCCTAGAGAAACAACAAACATCTGCCACGCGAAGCTGGACGGAATGACCCCAGGACCTCACAAGCAATTCTTTGGGGAGGTGGCTCAGAAATGAACAGGGAAGCAAAGGACTGGACCGCCCTGGCACCAGATTTGTCCTGAGCACATAAACTATGCATTAAAGATGTGCTCCCTTTTGCTTCGTCTATGTCGGTAATGTGTGGTTTCTTTTTCCCTAAATAAAAACATAATCATGGGCTACTGGCACTTGCATATTTAAAACAAAACAAACTCTTAGTCCCAAATGTATTTTAATCACATAACAAAGTTTCCATTTTTAAAAACATTTTTAAATTATTATGTGAACAGCAGTCAAAAAGGTATACGCAGTATATTAAGGCATTTAATATGTTACTGGCAAGAAGCAGAGATTCGCAAAAAGAAACAATCTGTGGTTCCCAAGTAAAGATACAGACTCAGCACACCAAATTCAATCAATTTTAATACTCTTTGTAGTCTTCTAAACTCTAACAGCCAACCAACAGCGGCATGGCAATGATATGTATAGTAAGGCTATGAATCATGCTATTGATTTTCAATATCGCCTGTGCAGAAAATTAAATTATGCAAATGCTTGCCTTTACGGATCCTTACCTTAATGTAAAATTGCATCCCTGTTTATGTCAGCAACTTAATTA